CCACGTACGGGCTTCGAGTGGGCGCCGACATGTACGGGTCGAACATGCTCGCGGGCGCCATCGACGAGCTCTACGTCTACACGAGCGCCCTGGACCGGGAGGCGATCTCCGTGCTCTACGGGTCGGTGACGGCGCCCCCGACGAGCCTCCCGAGCCGTCCGCCGTCGGCGGTCCCGTCGTCGGTCCCGACGGCCGCGCCAACGCTGCTCCCGTCCTCGATTCCGAGCGCGCTGCCGAGCCCCGCGCCGACGCCGCTTCCCTCGTCGTTACCGGTGCGTCGGGCCGCGTCCCTTTCTTCTTTGCGCGTTTCTGGTCGACTCCTCCCCCCCCTGCGCAGACGCCGACCCCTACGACTTCGCCGACGTCGACGCCGACAGAAGCCCCCACTCTCTCAGCGCCGCCGACGGGCTCGAGCGCACCGTCAGCCGCGCCCACGTCGCGTCCTTCCTCGCAGCCTACGGGCAGCCACCCGCCCTCGGCGGCGCCGTCGCGACTTCCGACGCCTGCGCCCACGCCGCTGCCGAGCCCGGCGCCGTCGAGTCTACCCACGCCGCTTCCATCGGGACTTCCGAGCGCTGCGCCGTCGGCGGCTCCCTTCTCGAAACCCAGCGCTCCACCGACGCCCACTCCTTCCTCGCCGCCATCCAGCGCGCCGTCGTCCTCGAGCGCTCCGACGCGCGCGCCGACCTCGCAGCCTTGGCGGACGCCGACCTCCGAGCCGGCGGTCTACTCATCGCTCCCGACGCTCTCGAGAGTTCCGACCGCCTCGCCTACGCCAGGACCCTCGACGGGGACCCCGTCGTCGACGCCGAGCGGCGCTCCGACGTCGAATCCCACGTCCGCGCCGACGGGGACCCCGTCGTCGACGCCGAGCGGCGCACCGACGTCGAACCCCACGTCCGCGCCGACGGGGACCCCGTCGTCGACGCCGAGCGGCGCACCGACGTCGAACCCCACGTCCGCGCCGACGGGGACCCCGTCGTCGACGCCGAGCACCGCCTCTCCGACGAGCTCGCCGACGAGCGGTCCGACCGGACTGCCGACGATCACGCCGTCTCCGACGGTGGAGCCCTCGGACGCCCCCACGAGCGCCCCGACGACGACGAAAGCTCCCACGACCCCCCCGACGGAGTCGCCGACGACGACCGCGCCGTCGCTCTCGCCCACGACCTCGATGCCGTCGTCGACGCCGACGGCCGGCCCGACCGAAGCGCCGACGACGAGCGCCCCCTCGCTCTCGCCGACGACGGCGGAGCCCTCGGACGCGCCGACGACCTCGGCGCCGTCGCTCAGCCCCCCGCCGTCGTGGACCTTTGGCGACACGATCCACGTCTTCGCGGGCATCGTCGTCGCGGACCTGGACGCGGCGGACCTGGACGCGCCGCTGGCGGCGGGCTTCGCGCGCGCGCTCGCGCGCGAGATTGCGCTCGTCGCGACGAGCGGCCAGGTCTCGGGCGTCGCGGCGGCGCCGTACGGCGAGCGGCGGCGCCTCGCGGGCGCGGGGCGGCGACTCGACGACGCGGCGCCCGCGCAGATCGACTTCGCGCTGAGCTTGACGACGGGCGGCTTCGACAGCGGCGCGTCGCTCCTCGCGTCGCTCGTCGACGACGTGCTCGGCGACGCGTCGTCCGGCCGCCTCGAC